GCTCACATACAAACAAAAATGCAGTTCTACATTTAACAAGGCTACTTAAAATAACCCAAATTGGAAAATAAATATGGCGATTCAGTTCCACCATATGACCATTTTGAGTTAAGCCCACCACTACATCACAGTACCCCAATATCAGTGGGTTCTACACTAATGTATGTTAAATTAGTGTATGATACACAGATTTTGGGTTACTGTGACGTGATGAGCTTAACACAATATGGCTATGTGGTGGAACTGAATTCCCATATTAATTTTCTAAGATGGGTGATTTTAAGTAGCCTTGTTAAATGTAAAACTGCATTTTTGTTTTTGTGTGCGCTGTTCCTTTAAATGTATTTTTCATCTATGTATGTGTCAGTGCATTTATATGTATGTATCTGTGTGTCATTGTATGTATATGTCAGTGTGTCTATATGCTTCATTGTGTGTTCCTGTGTGTGTGTCAATGTGTGCATCTGTGAGTGTGTGTCTGTATGCATCAGAGTGTTTTTCTGTGTGATTCAATATGTCAGTGTGTGTATCTGTGGGTTAATATGTATGTACAGTTTTAATCAATATTTTAAACCCCCATTATAACTTCAATACAATACCCAATACCCAATACCATCTCCCTTGACATCACTTATCTCTACACCACTTCAAAGTGTAGTTATTTCACTTGTGTCTGCATCACTTTTGGTGTTTCCACATACCTCATTGGTAGTTGTTACAGATGCAAAACCAGCAGTTTGCAAAATCCAAATACCCAGATGTTTTGTCAGATGTATGCAGACATCTGCCACATTATCAACAGAGCTGAAATGGACCAGAGCACATTGACAAAACTAGAGCCTACATCAACATCATCAAGTAATGTTTCCTGATAGGACACCTCCCTCAATAATACAATGATCAGCCATGATGTCTTCCAGCTATGCTCCTTTTAAAAAAAAACATGGTGACCAAACTGACACTAACTGTACTCTATTATAGTATGTCCTCAGGGGCTGGCTGGGCCGGGGAGCAGGGAGGCAATTGCCCCCCAGGCCGCCCTAAATAATTAAAAAAATGGCCACTGCAGGGCCGGTCCCTGTCGCCAGGAGGAGGGGGGTGCCGCGCAGAGCAGGGCCACCTAGTGCGCCCGGTAGCCAGGCAGAGTAGGCACCTGCTTGTCCCAGATGGCAGGTGCCTACTCTGCAGCAATATACCGGCCGCTGTTCGTGAGGAAGGAGGTAGGCGGCGGCAAGGGAGCACTGCCTCTGCTGATCTTCCTGCTCCCTCGCGCCCCCTCTCTGGTGATGCCGGGAGCCGGAATATGACGTCATTCCGGCCCCGCTTCACTAAACTGCGCGAGGGAGCAGAGAGGAGCAGGAAGTCACTGGACCCCAGGGAAGGACCCAGAGGACTCCTAAAGGTAGGAGCAACAAGGAATTTGTGTGTGTGTGTGTGTGTGTGTGTGTCTGGAAGTGTGTGTGTGTCTGGAAGTGAGTGTGTGTGTGTTTCTAGAAGTGAGTGAGGGTGTGTGTCTGGAAGTGAGTGTGTGTGTGTGTGTGTGTCTGGAAGTGAGTGAGGGTGTGTTTCTAGAAGTGAGTGAGGGTGTGTGTCTGGAAGTGAGTGTGTGTGTGTGTGTGTGTCTGGAAGTGAGTGAGGGTGTGTGTCTGGAAGTGTGTGTGTGTGTCTGGAAGTGAGTGTGTGTGTGTGTTTGTCTGGAAGTGTGTGTGTGTGTGTGTGTGTCTGGAGGTGAGTGTGTGTGTGTGTGTGTGTGTGTGTGCGTGTGTCTGGAAGTGAGTGTGTGTCTGTCAGTAAGTGTGTGTATCTGTCTGTCTGGAAGTGTGTGTGTGTGTGTGTATGTGTCTGCCTGTCAGTGAGTGTTTGTCTGTCAGGGTTTGTGTGTGTGTGTGCTATTGAGAGTGAGTGCCAGTGTGTCTGTCAGCAGAGCCAGCCTTTGAGGTGTGCAAGCTGTGGGGTCACATAGGGTGCCATGACAACAGAGGCGCCCGGTGGCCAACACAGCTCACAAGTTTGGGAAACCAGCACATTAAAGGGACACTCCAGGCACCCAGACTACTTCTGCCCATTGGAGTGGTCTGGGTGCCATCTCCCACTACCCTTAACCCTGCAACTGTAAATATTGCAGTTTTCATAAACTGTAATAATTACATTGCAAGGTTAGCTCCTCCTCTAGTGACTGTCTACTAGACAGCCACTAGAGGGCACTTCCTGGTTTATAGCACAGGTTTTCTGTGCTATAGCGTCACTGGACGTCCTCCAGTGAGGACCTCCAGTGTCGCTAAAACCCCCATAGGAAAGCATTGAAAGCATTTTCAATGCTTTCCTATGGAGAGATCTAATGCGTGTGCGCCACATGTGCATTAGGTATCCTCCGCCGGCGGCCGCACATGCGCAATCGGTCTCCCCCGCCGGATGACGTCAACGGGGGAGGAGCGTGGGCGGAGGTCTCAGGTATGTCACTGAAGGGGTTGTAACCCCTTCAGCAACATGGGATGGGGAGTGGGAGGGAGAGGGGACCTGCTGTGCCAGGAAAATAATTTGTTTTCCTGGCACTGGAGTATCCTTTTAATTTAAATGATTCCCTAGTGGTCTACTGGTACACACCAGCAGTAGGTGCCTTAGATCATATCCTCTCCCTTGTGGTTAGTTAGTGAGTCAGAGCACAGGCTCAGAAATTCTCCGCCTGCTCTCTAACAACATTGAAAGTCGGAGCCACAAAGGAGTGGGTATGGCAAAGAGCTACTGATTAGCATAACATCAATATCCATTATAAAACCAGGAAAAGGTGGGCATGGATGTGAGCTGGTTCGGGGGTGCAATGGGCCACTTGACTGGATTTGTCCCCCAGGTCGGAGGCTGCCAGCCCTCCCCTGTATGTCCTGTCTTTTTACCTAAAATTACACTGACATTGCTATACTGGCATTCTAAACAGGTAGCGCATCAGCCCTAACTAAATCCAAAGTCTAATTGCATTCAGCTGTTAATATTGATGACTGATGAAGTTATACATTTTTTGTCAACTAGAGAGCTACCTGTGGTACTGTGGTCTATATCCATAAATATGCACATGGAAATCTTGTTTCATTCTAGATTGATGTGCTTACAATGTATACCAAGTTTGAAATAAATAATTTGGTCCCTGAAGACCATAAACTTAGCATGTAATGTCCTGCTTATTAAGCATTAGCAACTCCATACCATCCTACAGCAGTAAGATGAGCAGTGCATTCCACTTTGAAAAGGCAGGATTATTCTGACAGCACAGACTTTCATAGGTCCTTAAGGAATTAATCTTGTTGCATGCAGTGATCTGGACCCTAGTCAGAAAAGTTTAATATAAGAGTTTTTTTCTGTCAGCAGCCAGCAGTAGAATTTTACTGAAGTCACATTGGTATCATTGATGGCTTTATCTCCTCTGCTTTAGCAGCTCAAATCAGAGTAGAATTTTTGAGATTGGCATATTTCGAAGAGATAACAATGAGTTTTTAGTTTACGCAACAAGAGGCCACTTGATGTAAATAAGTTAGCATAGTCTTGACAGTTACTCATAATGACATTTTGGGTCTGTGTGCAGAAGATCTCTTTACCAAGTATGGAACATACACAGGCATAGGATGAAGGACAAGTAATTGGGGTAGTGCTCATTAATTTTGTGTCATATTAAATCCCTTCAAATTCCCATGATAATCCCACAGAACAGCATGACTGCTGGAATAGCTCTAAGATGTTGCTCAAAGGTTCCACGTGACTTAACAGCTTTCAGTATCCTCTGTTAAAGGACTGTGGATTCACTTGCCTGACAGCAGAGGCTCTTTTATATTCTCTGTTGAATTGCCGTTAAGACATGAAAGGCATTAGAGTGTATTGATCCAGTGTTCTCTCCCTGCTTGTTTCAGCCTTACTGTATTTGCATTTTTAAATAAAGGTATGATTGATTTGTTCTCTAACATGTAGATTGAGGCATTTTTTTCTGCTCCTGTCTCATTTAAATTTATGTATGTATATTGTTAGCTTTTAACACCTTAAGGACCAAACTTCTGAAATAAAAAGGGAATCATGACATGTCACACATGTCATGTGTCCTTAAGGGGTTAAACATCCCCTAACACTGAACCAATCAGTAACTGCCAAATAGGACAGTACTCATCAAGTAGTTAATGAGAAGGAAAGTATAATGCTGCACTACTACACTCAGGTCATTACCCTTATATAACCTGTAGTAAGAAAAAAAAAAAAAAAAAGCATATGGCATTGCAACTACAGAAAGTTCTAAAAAACTAAAATGAAAACTGAGCTTGGACCCACCAAAGGGCATGCCATTTGAATTGTTCATTCACAGTATTCTCTGATGTTTTTTTTGTTTTTGTATCTATATAAGAGAGTGAAAACATAATTGAAGAGGTCCCATGATATGTTAATCAGAAATTTTGGACAATTGGAAAAAGCAATCTCTCTTTAAGATATGCTTTATTGAAACAAAATGAAGGGACCATTTCTCTACAGATTATTTTCAAAACAATTACATTCATTTAGAGTGGATGGTTGAAGTTTATTTAAACACATGCTTAAAATTAATTTTAACTACACATATATACCTGTGTATAACTGTTTGTGAATAACAGTTATATACAGTTAGATCATGGTTGCCTGTTTATATCATATCACCCAGATGCACCCAGATTTAGGAGGTACAGTCCCTATTTTTGGCTCAAATTCCTTTTGTCCTTCTTTTCTATCCTAACATCTCTCTTTTATAGGAGCTCCATATTGTTGGTGTGTCTGAATGTATAAAACAGCTACACAGCAATAATACTCCCAGTAAGGTGTCTTTAAACTACAATAAATGTGTTTAGAAATCAATATAAGATACATCGGTGGTCTTCCATGATCGATAGCTGGGCTGACATAGCTTGTTGTTGGGTCCAGATCCACTCCACCGAATCTTGGAGTATGAACAATTGGGTTTGTATTTCAACAATGTCCTCTTCCGAGGTCTTTACCTGATCCTTGGCAGCTTGCAGAACCTTTTGATGGGAGCTAGTTCTGGTCCCAGTATTTTGTGGAAACTGGAGAGAAGGATCTTGGAGTGAGGAGTTGTGGTGTACATGGGTCCGGTGGACTCTCTGGCCCTTGTTTCTCAGATGGCAGAATTCGGGTGGTGTTATGAGGGTCCTCCTCGGGAGCGGATATGGGCTGCATAGGCCTTTGAAGCATGGCCCCAATGTTCCACTGTCCATTGCCGCAGCAGGGTTTTGTGTGCAGCAACTCATGACTAGCTTTCGGGCAGGATAACCAAGGAGTGCCCCTAGGCCTGGGATTTTTCTGAGTGGTGTTGGCCCTGATCTTTTGTCTCCATTTAGGCTAAGCTGAGGCAAGAAAGAACGGCATGGAATACAGCTTGAAGCTTTTTGTGCCTGGATGGGTGTCAAATTCAAAGATATGCATCTAGATGTGCAGAAATCTAAAGGAACTCACAAGAATGGTGACTGGTTAGGTCAGTGAACAAGCTCAGCCCTCCAAATACTTAATTATGAGTTTCACTGGCCTTGTATTTTGACATGCCATTGGCTAAATTTCAGAGAACCCATACTGACCAGCATCATCCTTTGATGATATTTCTATCCCTCTTTAACATTAGCAATCCCTATCTAATTCTAGCCCTAGCTTACCATAACAAACCTATAAATGGAATTCCCCTTGTTACATGGTACAACGCACTCTCTGAGCACTTTGTGAGAGGTAGATCTCCTACTCTGATGTTCATCTTCATGCTCTTAATCTATCTCGTACTAGCATATGGGTCTTTCATCAAAGGGGGTTTGATTATAATATGTAATCTTGCTAACATGTAGATATCTATTTGCACCTACTACTATTTTTTTTATTGTATATTATGTGTCTATACCTTCTTTCTATGCCTGGATTAGCCTAATTATGCTATTACCATTTCTCCAACCAGAATTTTTAAACATGTAACAGTACAGCAGTCCAGTAGGAGGGGGGCATCAATGATGGCACGCACGCACCTCAAAGTGAGCATGTTAGTTTGTTGTCCCTCCAGGGTATTTTATGTGCAGAACCCTGCTGAAGAGCTCTCCCATGGGAGCAATGTCCTGTGTTTGTTTTACACTGCACAGCTCTGCATTTGCTAGTGACTTATCTCTGGTTTCTCTATAAGAGGGATATCAGAGGACAAAAGGGACACTTTCTGGATTCTAGCAGATTCTGAGTTCATTAAATGACGCTCTGCATGAGGATATTCAGCGTCAGTGAAATCCCCATAGAAGTTGGATAAGGTCGGAGGAGGTGGAGCGCCTACCCAGCGCAGAGGGACAGAAGTAGGTTTGATTTTTAAATGAATTTAAACCTTTATCCGCTACAGGGGGGTACTAGAGGGCACTATAGTGTTAGGAATACAGATGGCTAACATGTTTCCCTTTTATTTTTTTCCTGTTGTGTAAACCAATTTATCCTGCCATTTTTTTTCTTTTATTGTTCTTAACTATATGGGCTACTAAGTCTCCAAAATACTAGAGGATAGTTCTCCACCCCCTACTCTATGCCTTTAAATTAGGGCATTTGATTCTGGCCTTTCAGGAGAACAAAGACTGGGTTCAGTTCGCCTGGTTATGGGTGTGCTATTCCAGGCTTTCTGGGTTAAAAAGAATATATACCTGGTCAACATACTTTATTCCTTATTTTTATTTAGTTATCTTTGTTTGCCTCTGTTTTTTTGTGTGCTTTTTTGAAGTGCAGGGGAGCTGCTCTCGGGTCTCAGTGGGATTTTTGGCACATATTTTGTTTAGGCTGATTTAGTGAATGGGCAAGGTTTCAATTCGTCTATAATTTTCTTCATGTTAAACATGTTGATATTTGTCAAAGAAAAAACAGAATTGAGTGCCCTAATTGGAGTTAAAACATAACTTTTATTGCGACCGAATAAAAAAAAAAAAAGCATCTTAATTACTGTGGTGCTTGTTGTGCTCAAAGTGAGGATAAAAACAAAGGCAATATTGTTATGAGATCTTGACTAATGATACATTTTGATTCATGCTCGATTAGTAAGATTAGCTGCCTGCACTATATCTAAGTTTAACTTGCAGGTCAGCTAGAAACGATGTGTCAACACACAATTAGTAAAGTCACCTAGGCTGTAATAACACAGTTGTTAGTATTAATAATACAGAATCATGTCTAGGTTGACTAGTGATACATTTAGATCTGTGCTCGATTGGTAAAGTCTACTGACTATTGTCTTACAGGTTTCTCTTATTTATGATAAAAATAGAGTTGTTACCACATAAAGCCATATCAAGTAGAATAGAGGATTCAGGGAGAAAGATAGGAAATCTGCACTAGATTTAGCTAGATGTAAAAAGAAAAATATAACAAAAATAATAATAAAATAAATGATGTTAAATCTCCGTTGGATGGTATTGAAGATCTAGTAAACCTAATAGTGTTGCCGTAAGCTTTGGAAATCAACGTGCTGCCTTGATGGAGCTAAAATCTAGATGGTACTTCTTCTGTGCCTTCAAGGGCACCTACAATTGATATACTGATTGGGTCCTTGAAAGTGTACCCAGTCGGACTACTTGAAGTGTCTCCTGAATCCCAACAACACAGATCAATCTTAGGTGAGATAAATGTATCGTAACTTGGGATCTTGGCTTAATGTACTAAAAAGTACCTAAACTTATTGTGGATATCATGCATATAACTATATACCAGGATAACCGAGAACCCCTGATGCCCACAGCTCTTTAGAGGTGAACCGATGTGCGTGAATAACCAATGTTTCTTTTTAAAAAGGGGGACTAAACAACAACTGGAAAGTTTCAAAAAACACATTTAAGTTTCAGCGTGATCATAGGGATTTTAAGGAAGGGTCAATCTTCAGGCAGAGAAATAGATACTGAAAAAGGTACAATAGCAGACAAAATTCAACATCAGGTGATACTGAGTGGACAGATTCTGATTCTAGTCCTTCAAGACGTGGTAGTGAAACTTTTAGAACTACAAACTATACTAGACACAGAAGAAAAGGCATATTGAAAACTTCCCTTATACACATTATTTGAGCTTTATTGCCACCACTACCGATACCTTACAGACCCCATCCACATCCTCTTCATTTGTACCATCTTTTTTAGAACAGGAGTGGCCCCTTCCCCAAAAAGAAAAACTAAGGGACAGGAAGAGATGGGGATACAAATTCAACAAAGAAATGTACAAAAACCAATAAGCAATAAAAATTTGATCATAAATCTCTCAACCTTCTCCTCATAAATGAACATATCTCCCTATTAAGCAAAGGGTTATCGTTTGTCCCTTCTCCTAAGACTAATACATTTTATTAGGTAAAAGAAACAAACCTATCCGGACAAAAAATTGCCTTAAGTGCAATACACAAAAGGAAAAAGACAACAAATTAGCTAAAGAACAAGGTCTGACGTACGAGGACCACAAACATCTACAAACCATGGTGTCATATCAGGATAACCGAGAACCCATGGCGTGCGTTTCGCCCACAGCTCATCAGAAGGGAATTGATGTGCGAGAATAACCAATGTTTTTTAAAAAGGCGGACGTAAGTTCTGATTGGAATTCAAAAATAGTAATTGATGTCTTAACCAATCATGTTTATAGAGGAGATTAACATGAAAGAGATGATTCGACTGAATTATTGAGTTTGGTTTCTCATAATTCACCTATATTGTTATTGCTTACATCAATAAATTATGTTTTCATAATAATGGGAGAAGCTTGTAATGCAAAAACATTGTGTCTTAATTGCGATTGGATCGGATTAGGAAAATCCACTTTGTCCTGACTTACTTACATAATTTGTAATTTATGGTATCTTTAAGTATTGTTTGGGAATCATATTTGTTTTGTATATATTAACCCTTATAAGTATCCTGATGACTTAAATTTATTGAACCTGGTACAAGTATAGGGTCGTTATTTCTGGTAGCTGTACCTATATACTTAGGTTTTACCAATTTTGTTAAGAAAAGAAGGGATGGAGGAGCCCAAAAAGGATATATACATGCATTGTGCACAACTGAGGCAGACTTGAAACTTAATTTCTAAGAGAGAAGAGGACCATAATCACTGTGTGATACAGTTTTGGCCCCAGTGTTTTGTTTATTTCTGTGTAGCAGGTTAGAAAACATATGTATTCCATTGCAAAAACAAAAATGTCCCTAGTTTTTTGGGGGAGTTTTGCCCTAACTAGAGTGGGGAATACTTGTGCATTTAACATGGTATAAAAGGTGTAAAATTGAATTCCTCATTAAGATCTCCGGGTGGTTTTTGTCTGGAATTCATAAATCCATTTAGACTCTTTTTGTAATAGCATCACATTAAAGTTACCTTTTCTACAGTTAAGGATAACTTGTTCCAGAGCTTGAAATGATAGATGGTTTGCCCCGGCAACAGATCAGTGGAACAATCATAAGATCTGTGTGGAGGAAGAGCATTAGTCTGGCTTTTACTAAACGCCTCTCTAACCTCCCAATACTGTATGGGAATCTCGGGAGTTGGAGACGTAGCAGCGGGTAAAGCAACGATGCCCACTTTTTTAGAAATGGGTATCATGCCGTTTTCCTGACAGTCTCTACCCCATTCCAGTATTTCCCCTCTAGTCCAGTCAATATGAGGGTTATGCTTGGTGAGCCAAGGGATCCCTAATACAATGGGACAAGAAGGGGAAGCAATTATCTGGAAAGTAATGTCTTCCTAATGGAAAGATCCTATCGTAATGCAAATAGACATGGTCTCATGGGTAATAAGAGGTTGAGATAGGGGTCTTCCATCAACCGCTAGAAGTGGTGATTTCTCCTTGACTGAAATCTGCTTTGGGAATTACTAGAGGACCTATCCATTACACCTAAGAACTGTCCCCTTAAGGTTCTTAGGTGCAGAAGTTTTCCGGACGTGTAGGACAAGCATCTCTCATATGCCCCTTCTTGCCACAATATAAGCACAGACCCTCTCTTCTCCTATATTGTTTCTCTGTCTCAGACAGTCCTGTATCCCCTAACTGCATAGGTTCAGGTTCAGACAGCGTCGAGAGGTCAGGGAAAACAGGTTTGGAGAATCGAGGTGCTAGTGACATAGACAAACTAGTCTAGTTCTGTTTCTAGTAATTTCCCTGGTCCCGAGTCTATTATCGATCACATAGTTAATAAAGTCATTTAACCCCTTAGGTAGGTCTTTGGCAGCAATTTAT